TGTTTTATGAAAAAAAATTGGAAGTTTCCTTCCCTCTGCTTGTTTAAAATCAACCATTTTCACTTCAGAGCCAAGAACAGAAATCTCCAACACAGGGAAGTTCTGCCAAGTCACTCTGCCTTTTTATATTACATTGATTGTCCTATTTAATTTAAATATATGTAGACTTAGGCTTGGATTTTTATTTTTGATGTTTTAGTGATGAATGCTCCTCTCGACTGTGCATTTAAATGAGACTTCAAACGCTACATTTTTATCGATTCTTGTAGATATAATTTTTTTATATAAGGATAAACAGCTGTGAAGATTTAAGAAAAATTTTGCAATTTAGAGAAGTCATCGAGAGACATAGCAAAATTTAGAGCCACACTTTAAAATGGAGGAAACTGAGAATAATAAAATACAGATATGATATTACAGGGATTGAATTTTGTATTTAATCCACGTCATCTTTTCTAATCCCACTCTAAAACCGTGACTGTGTTTCAGTTATATATCAATAACCACTTGCTGCTGAATAAGGCTTGATCTTTGTCCCTTTTTTGCTGACTACATTTTTTTTACATTATCCTGAGGCAAAGAACTCCAAATTTTAGTTGTGGTGTATGAAGATTCCCTTTGTCTCTTTGAAATCCACTCTGTGATAATCCCAGTTCATTTTCTTTGCTCCTGACAAATAACGAGTTAAAATTTCTGTTTGGAGAAAGAGTTCTGGTTGCCCTTTGCAGGATTTATTTTAATTTTACTGCATCCTTGAAACAAAAAGAATAATCTGGGGGTTGAGGGCTTGCCTTGGGCTTGAAGCAAAGGGAGATTCAGCGTCTGATTTCGGGGTGGTTTGATTGTGTATCAGCTCAGGGCTCAGCACTGAATCAGTTCCGCTGAGATATTGAGTTTTTTCTGGAGGGTTTTGCACACTCTGCTGGAAAGTCCAACTCATCAGAGTCCCCTCTGATCTGTGGCTCAGGGGGGAGATAAGAGCAAGGAGGGGAGATAGTGCTGAGCCCTGCAAGAGCCTTCTTTTAGTGGGAGGAAAAGTTTTTCACCAAAAATGAGGATCTTTCGAGCAGGGCGGTGGAGACCAAATGCAAACCCTTGAGTACAGCACGTCCTCACCCTCACAGGGGTGCACATTAAACCAGGGCACTGCACATTTAGCCCTTCCCAGCTGATCAGAGGCATCATAGAAGTGATTAGGACGGGTTTTACTGCTTATCTTCATGTATTTAACAATCTTGATATAAAAACAGTGCCTTGCTTTCAGCCTGTCCAGAGGTAAAGCTCAAAGGCTGCTCTCTAGAGAAGCAGAGCTTCTGAGAGATGCTCTGTCTAAACAGAACCAGCAGATTTGGTGCAAAAAAGAGGAGAAAACCAAAGAAACAGCATCATTTTACAAATATTTTGGTGCTTTCATTTTACAAATTTTTTGGTCCGGGATGTAGGTAAAGCTCAAAGGCTGCTCTCTAGAGAAGCAGAGCTTCTGAGAGATGCTCTGTCTAAAGAGAACCAGCAGATTTAGTGCAAAAAAGAGGTGAAAACCAAACAAACAGCATCATTTTACAAATATTTTGGTGCTTTCATTTTACAAATTTTTTGGTCCAGGATGCAGATAACACAGAGCTCGGCCTATATTCAGGCAAGATGCTGGTAAATCTCTTTTATACATCCAGCTGCAGAAACAACAGACACAACACATCTTAGAAACTCTTGGTTGCATAATTGCCCTGACCAAACTGCTCTAATGTCACTGTAAATATCAATATTTCCACTGGGCCCTGTGGGGACGGGCCCGGTGTCACTTTGTGCTCTCCGCTGCTGGAGGCCGCGCTCGCCAGGAGCCCCGGGGCTCGTGTGGGCACAGGTGTGACTTTGTGGGCTGCAGATAAAAATAACAGGTAGGGCTGAGACTCTGTGGCCTAAACCTTGATGCTTTCACACACTGGCCCAGCTCAGGCTTCATTCCTTGACCTTAAAAGGCCAGATCCTGCCTCTGATAAGAGCTTCTTCCTCTGCCTCCCACTTCACACCCGGCCTCCTTCCAGGCCTTCCCCACCTCCAAGGAAGTGGAAATGTTTGATTTTTCCCTTTCCCCCTGGGTTCAACCCTCACCTCTCACTATTTCACATCCATGTGCTTCAAGTGTTGAGTTCTGAAGGAAATTCCCACCTTGGCACCGTCACTTGGAGTGTGAGGGGTTGGATTCATGTGGGAAAAGTTCAATGAAATTGGTTTTCAGGAAGGTTCATTGCTCAGGCTCTCTCTCACAAATGTCTGGTTTGGGTTCCTTTTCCCCCCCTGTGTTTCCCAGGCTGACTGAACAGGGAATATTGGGAACAGTAATCCTGAAATTTCCTGTAGGATCCCCTTGTGATGGGAACCAGGAGCAAGGGAAGGATGGTGAGAGAACAACCTGCTCTGCCCACTGTGGGAGAGGAGTTTACTCAGTGAAAAAGCCGCCTGTACATCTTTGACTCATTCAACAAACAACTCACGTCACCTCCAAACCTGAAACATTCCTGCTAAGTGATTAAGCCCTGAAAAAAATGCATTTCTGCCTCTTGACACTGTGAGAAACCACAAATCCACTCACTGAAAGTCGCCTTTTGATGCTTTTAGGTCAGCAGTAAATTTGATCGCAAATTTGAGGCTGGAGGAATTACCCCAAACTTATTCATGCTGAAGGACATTTGTTTTGGTTTGGTTTTGTTCATTCTGAGTTATGCTTGGAACCTTTGTGTACTCTTTGAGATCTCCAGGGCTTAGGGAGAAATTAAAATAAATGTATTCCAAATGTATTTAATTACAAAATCCCACTGATTTCTGCAGAGAGCACTTTGGTGGGACTTGTCCTGCTTAAACCAGAACAAAACTCTGGTCACACTGGGCAAGCTGGGAGAGGAAATAGATGTGAATTGGTCAGATTTGCAGGTCTGAGTTGTGCAGACGTGATGACAACTGGCCAGTACTGAAGGTTTCTAAACCTGCATAAATAAAGATTTCATCTACAAGCAGTGGAACACTGAATCAAAGGCCTTGAACAGCATTTTAGGGTCAGCACTCACCTTTCTGCTGTACAATATTTGTGTAACTCTGTGTACATATGATGGAGTTAATTTAATCCATTCTCACATTGTTTGATCCTCAAAATCCTCCAGAGATCTTTCCTGCTTCATTTGTTGGGTGCTTGGGATACCTTAAAAAAGAGATCAGATTTTCTGAAATATCTTTAAATGGACACTGAGTAGGTTTAGATGGGATATTGGGCAGGAACTGCTCCCTGGCAGGGTGGGCAGGCCCTGGCACAGGGTGCCCAGAGCAGCTGGGGCTGCCCCTGGATCCCTGGCAGTGCCCAAGGCCAGGCTGGACAGGGCTGGGAGCAGCCTGGGACAGTGGGAGGTGTCCCTGCCATGGCAGGGGTGGCACTGGATGGGCTTTAAGGTCCCTTCCCACCCAAATCCTTCCATGATAGCGAAGCTGTTTTGTAACCCTGCTTCAGCTCCTACCCAAAATCCGTGACTGGGGTAAATCAGTTCTTCTCCCTGTGCCTTCCTTATCTCCCAAACAGAGCTAACGATTCTTATTTCCGCTGTAAAGTAGCTTGAGATGAGTAGGAGATCACTACTAATTTTTATCATCTTGACTGAAGTTACTTAGATAAAGTGTGACAGTTCACTGATGAAATCTGTGGGTTTGCTCAGTCGTGCACATTTTTGGATATTCTGGGTGAGATGGGATTGATTGATTGATTGATTGATTGACTGATTGACATGCTGACACACCAGAACCTGAATATTTTGAAAACGTTACAGAGGGCTCCAAGGTGGCTCCAACCTGACAGGAATAAATGGGAGAAGCTGTCCTCATTCATGTGTGTGTAGCAGAGTGTCTTGGTTTGAACAGACAGGTGTCAGCTAAGGAAGGCAGGACCCTCCCCTGAAATGGAAAATGTAAACCCCCTCCCTCTGAATTGTTATAATTTTGAAATTAAGGGGCTCTCAGGCAAAAATATGGGAATAGAAATAACAGTTCTTTACTAGGGAATAAAATTAAAAAAACATATTAAAAATGCAGTAATACAAAACAAACCCTGCCAGAGTCAGACCAGTCCCTGCCCCCTGTGTGTCAGGGGGTGGCACAGCCCCATCCCATGGGGGCTCAGCCCTCCTGCAGTGCCAGCTGTGGCTCTGCTGGAGCAGGGATCCTGCACAAGGGGGGAGTTTTCCTCTGCAGCTCCAGGGCTGCTGCAGATGGGCCTGGGCTCCCTCTGGCCATGCAGGGCAGCAGAAGCTGCTCCTCTGGCAATGCACTGGGCAAAGGCTGCTGGGCTGTGCCAGGCTCAGATTGGATCCAGGTAGGAATGCTTGGCTCCTGCCCTGGGCAATGCAGCATCTCCCCATGGGATGCTGGAATTGGATCAGCCCTGCAGGGACACTCAGTGGCCATGGACAGCAGAGATCTCCTGCAGGGAGGGTTGGTGTTTGAGAAATAAAGAAAACTGCCCAATTAACAGAAGATAACTGTTGCTATAGGACCCGAAAGAACACAAGCTCACACCGCTGTTCTCAAGGTGAAGAAAAAGGGAAGTTTATTTTCTGACTCCAATATTTATAGTTTTCCAAGAGTGACAGTGGATTGGAGGGTGACAGTGCCACCTCTCCAATGACACTGGACAAACGAACAGTCCATCAACTTTCTCCTCCTCCATAAAGGAATGCAAAACAATGAGTTATTTACAGAAAGTGTGAGAGAAAGTTCACTACTAGAATGTCAACATCAGAAGGCTTAGAAAATCTTAAAAAACCAGGGTGACAGATAACTGCCCCACCTCTGACAGACAGGAACAGATACACACCCCCATTTCCATCCTAAGACACAGAGACAAAAACCAACCCCATTCCCATATTAATTTACCCAATGGCACTAATTACCAGCACCATTAGAAGCAACTAACGAGCGTTCATTCTCATTCCAACAGAGCCCCAGCTGCCCTCCCCACCACCATGGAGCACTTCCTGACCACTCCAAGCGAGCTGGTGCTGCAGCGGGGCCAGGCCCAGCTGCTCCTGGGGAAGGCGGGCGGGCACTCCCGGCGGAAGAGGGAATTCATGCCAGATGACAAGAAGGACACCATGTACTGGGAGAAGAGGCGCAAGAACAACGAGGCCGCCAAGCGCTCGCGGGAGAAGCGGCGCCTCAACGACGTGGCCATGGAGAGCCAGCTGGCAGCGCTGAGCCGCGAGAACGCCGTGCTCAGGACAGAGCTGCTCTCCCTCAAGCTGCGCTTCGGGCTCCTCAACCCCGCGCCCAGCCCCTACCAGGGCCACCCCCTTGGGTTCTACCTCAGGGGGCACCGGGCAGCCTCACCCCTGCTGGGTGTGGAGCCCTTTGCTGGTGACTCCTGCTGCCCTGCCCAGAAGAGTTTTGTGCCCAAGGTGCTGGAACCGGCTGCGTTTCCTTGCAAGACCTTCAACCCTTCCACAAACATCCTCGGCTGCGACTCCAAACCCATTCCCGTGGACACACGTGGCCTCCAGCAACCCAAAAGGTTTGAGGAATCCTTCAGCCCCAAAAGGTTTGAGGAATCCTTCAGCCCCAAAAGGTTTGATGCACCCTTCAGCCCCTCAGTTTGCTCCCCATTCCTCAGCTACCCCTGCCCAGACAAACACCCCTTCCCCTGCCCTTGGCTGGGCAGCGCCTGCTTCTTGTGCCCATCGCCCGCCATGGCCGAGGCCAGGAAGGAGAGCAGCACTGTGGTGTCGGATGAAGATGACGAGCAACAAGTGCCCAAAACTTCTCCTGTGCCCTCCTGCAGCCTGCCCTGCCCCTCAGAAGAGCAGCTGAAGGGCCGGAGCTTTGCTGCTCTCCCACACAAGCTCCGGATTAAAAGCAAAGCTCTGGGCACTCTGGAGGAGACTGGGCTGGACTCACACTGAGGCAGCACAGGAATGGCTGCTGTGGGCCCAGGGTGAGACATTCCAAGGAAAAGAAGGGTTTGGAAGGACAAGGTGAGAGGGAAATGTCTTTTTCTCCAAAGATGAACATAATTTTCCCTGCTCTGTGTAGATGCTGAGGGTGTTTCTGGGGCTGCACCACTACAGCATAACTGCAGCTGGCCAGGACCCTGTGGTCACCCCCTGGTCTCACTGGTGGCTCTGCTACCACAGCAAGCTCAAACTGGAGGTGTGAAGGGGCAGGAAGAGGCCAAGACAGGGGAGATGGTCACACAATGTGACACCACTACAGCTGGTGGGGTTATCAACTATTGTAGTCACCTTTGCTTCATCACCACCTTCATCCTCACCAACGTGCCTGAAGTCAGAATTACTTGACAGGAAACTGTTGATGGAACCAGTTTCAGACCTGTCAGCTATCTGGAGAAAATAAAAAGCAGTTGTGACTCTGGGAGCATGGATTTACATTGACATTAACTGAAAGCAGGACCTCCTGCACTTTATTCCAGTTTACCATAACTTATCTCCAGAGAGAACAAAGTCTTTCTCTGTGACCAGACATGCTGTGGTCCAGAAGATTTCATTTATCTTTGCAACTGTTATTATGGAAGACTAAATGTTATTTTTTTATTATTATTATTGAAATGAAAAAAATATTTTAGTTTTGCTTATTTCTTTTAAAAAGGCATTTTCAAAGCTGATCTTTGTGTATTTGGGAACTCATTATCAAACACCTGCACATGGTGTTTGTATTCCTGCATCTGCTGGGACCCAGTCCCTGTCCATCCTGACTTCTGCCTTCTTTTCCTTTGTGAAAGCCTCAGGGAGAGCAGCCTCCTGCAGGGCTCTGGAGCCTGCTTGGAGCTGTTCCTCACTTTTCAAACCAAAGAGAATTCTCAGGGATGCACTCCAGGTACAGCTGTGACTTCCTCTCCTCAGATCTTTCCTGCTTTGTCTCTTTTCCCAAGAAAAGGATGATCCTGCAATTGTGATGTTGCTGTGTCTGTTAGCCCCAAACATTTTTTTGACATGTTGGACAAGACCAGCCCAATCTGATGACTCCATCAGATCAGAAGAATAAGATCTCAATGTGAAAAAACAACTTCAAACTGTTCTCCTCTGCCCCAACCACACATTTTCAGTCTGTGTCCCATGTCCCAAAAAATAAAAGAGCTGCAGGGCCCTTCTGGGAACCAGAGCTCAACATCCTGGCTCACACAGGAGGGCTTGGAGCACCCTGGGACAGTGGAAGGTGTTCCTGCCATGGCAGGGATGGGACTGGGTGGGTTTTAAGGTCCCTTCCAACCCAAATCATCCCATGATCCATGAAAACTTCAGGCTCTGGAGAATAAGGACAATTGACAAGAGTGTTTTCCTAGGAATCATTTAATAACTAATAAAGGAATGCAGCAATGATAGGACCATGCAAAAGGACAGCCCACACTGCCTGACAGAGGATGCAACAATCCCTCAAACTGGTTTGGAAAAGAGTGAGAGCTGTACAAGGGTTCTGAACTGGGGAGGGACCAACAGGTGCCCAATAAAACAGGAGCTGCAAAAGGTGTCTTGGTTTGACTGTTGGGACTGGATCTGCATCTTTCCCCCTCAGGAACATCCAGCATGATAACTCCATCCAGTGAGAACAAGTGGGAACAAGCAGGGAGCTGTGGGCACCCATTCCTCTGTCCATAAAGGTGTTTTCCCTCTGCCTGTGCCCCTGTTCCCACAGCAGGACCCCCAGCTCCCAGCACAGACCCTCCAGCATGGGGTGTGGGCTCTGTCCCGGCTCACCCCTGTTTATGGGGACACCCCACAAGGACCAGTCCCTGTTCTGGGCCAGGATCAGTGCAGATAAATGGGCAGAGCTTCCTGGCACAGCTGCCAGGGCACAAGGGGAGCTCTCCTGTACCCCTGGCATGAGGGGAAACCAGAGCTGCAGCCGCTGCTCAGGGTGAAAGGCGAGGCAGTGATGCTCTGCAGATTAAAGGAAACCACACGTGGTTCCATTTCCTGCCCCATTCCGGCTGTCCCCTCTTCCCCTCACAAGGGCCAGGGACAGCCCACGGCAAGGAGCAGGCACAGAAACGATTTTAGTGAAAGAAATCACCTCCCTCCCATTCCTGCTGTTCCCAGTCCCTGTAGGATCAGCTTTTCCCCCCACTGGGCTGGCTCTGTGTGCTTGCCAAGAATTCGAGATGCAGTGAGGGGATGGGAGGGAGCTCAGTTTAATCTGTAGGATGGATTTGAGGTTAACGTGTTGCCTCCAGGACCTGCTGTCCCTCCTAACCCTGCTGCACCCCCTGATCCTGCTGTCTCTCCTAATCCTGCTGTCCCTCCTAACCCTCCTGTTCCTCCCATCCCTCCTGCCTGTAGCCCAGTGATTCAATCCCCAGAAATTTAACCCTGCAAGTGCCCAAAGGTGATTTTTTGTGGGGTGTTGAGAAGGCTGAAGAAATGAGTAACATTTCCTGTTTGCTGTGTCCCTGCTCTCACAGAAACCAGGGGCCAAACCCAGTCTGGAGTCAGGGCTGGTGGCACTGGGAGCTGTTGGGTGCCTGTGGAGGGATTGGGAGGGTGGGACAGCAGCAGGAAAGGCAGCACGAGATGGGGACAGGGTGTAGAGTGAGCCAGCCCTGGTCCCGCACCTGCCTCACCTCACAGCTGCTCCCACACCTGCTCCCCTCTTTCCCCTGCTCCAGGGTTTCCTCCCCTCCAGGGTCACTCACCTGGAGGAGATGCAGGTGAAGATGGTTCTTCCCCTCCTTCCACACCTTCACTGCTCCTTTGCTGCTTTGTCCTAGAAAATTTCCTACTTGGGGAATATTAGTTTGTCCATCCATCCATCCCTCATCCATCCATCCATCATCCATCCATCCATCATCCATCCATCATCCACCCACATCCATCCATCCATCCATCCATCCATCCATCCATCATCCATCCATCATCCATCCATCCATCCATCCATCATCCATACATCCATCATCCATCCATCCATCATCCATCCATCATCCATCCATCCATCCATCATCCATCCATCCATCCATCCATCCATCCATCCATCATCCATCCATCCATCCATCCATCCATCATCCTTCTGTCCATCCATCCATCCATGCATCCATCCATCCATCCATCCATCCATCCATCCATCCTTCCATCCATCCATCCATCCATCCATCCATCCATCCATCATCCATCCATCCATCATCCTTCTGTCCATCCATCCATCCATCCATCCATCATCCATCCATCCATCCATCCATCCATCCATCATCCATCCATCCCCCATCCATCCATCCATCCATCCATCCATCATCCATCCATCCATCCATCCATCCATCCATCCATCCATCATCCTTCTGTCCATCCATCCATCCATCATCCATCCCTCCATCCATACATCCATCCATCCATCCATCCATGCATCCATCCATCATCCATCCATCCATCCATCCATCATCCATCCATCATCCATCCCTCCATCCATCATCCATCATCCATCCATCCATCCATCATCCATCATCCATCCATCCATCCATCCTTCCATCCATCCATCCATCCATCCATCCATCCATCCATCCCTCCATCCATCATCCATCATCCATCCATCCATCCATCATCCATCATCCATCCATCCATCCATCCTTCCATCCATCCATCATCCATCCATCATCCATCCATCATCCATCCATCCATCCATCCATCCATCCATCATCCATCCATCCATCCATCCATCCATCCATCCATCCATCATCCATCCCTCCATCCATCATCTATCATCCATCCATCCATCCATCCATCCTTCCATCCATCCATCATCCTTCTGTCCATCCATCCATCCATCCATCCATCCATCCATCCATCCATCCATCCATCACCCTTCTGTCCATCCCTCATCCATCCATCATCCATCCATCCATCCATCCATCCATCCATCCATCCATCCATCCATCCATCCATCCATCATCCATTATCCCAAGTTCCACATTCAGTAACACCCTCAGGAAAGTTCCATTGTTGCACCAATTGTGAGGCTGGGCTGGAAGTGAGCTGAGCTGTTCCTGCCTCTGCTTAGGCTTAGTTAATTCTTTAATTAGTCTTTGTTCCAAAGTCATTTCAGGCAGTTTTCAAGCTGATTAATTACTGGGCTGTGCATTCTAGAATAAAAATTCCTCTGTGTGTCCTAAGAGGGGGAGACAAGGGAGATATTTCCTCTTTGGAAAACTATTCCAGTATTTTTTATCTGTCTGCCAGGAGAGGGAGGTTTTGCCTTTGAGCTGGCAGGAGGTACCTGAGAGGGACACGCTGCAGACACCTAAATATATTTCAAGGGACATGGAGAATGGGAGAAGGGGAAAATTGCCCAGTGCTTTCCACACCTTAGAACGAGCTGGCACCCAGGGAAAGTGGGCAGAGGCTCTGCAAAAGCTGCAGGATGGATTTTTATTGTGCAGCTCGTGACTAAACCCGGCAGTAAGGGACCACGGGGGTCATAAAACAAGGAGAGGATTTCAGGAAGGATGAATCTGCTGGGAGGAATTGGAGACTGAGCTGGGGGAGTGTGATGGTGCTCTCAGGGGTCCCAGGATGAGGGAAGAGATGAGAATCTTGACTCCATGTTTCAGAAGGCTGATTTATTATTTTATGATATATATTATAAGAAAATGATATACTAAAGCTATACTAAAAGAATAGAAGAAAAGATTTCATCAGAAGGCTTGAAAAGAAAGGAAAGATAATAAAATCTTGTGACTGACCAGAGAGTCTGAGACAGCTGGACTGTGATTGGCCATTAATTAAAAACAACCACGAGACCAATCACAGATGCACCTGTTGCATTCCACAGATGATAATCATTGTTTACATTTCATTTCTGAGGCCTCTCAGCTTCTCAGGAGAAAAGATCCTAGCAAAAGGATTTTTCATAAAACGTCTGTGACAGGGGAGACTCTGGCTCAGGGGAGCTGGGGGTGGGTGAT